ACTTTGCCCCTAATTGCGGATAATAAAAGATTAACAGAGAGATCGTTGAAGCAAAAAGTCATGAAATATGAATGCGTGGGTTGTCACTGGGCTTTCAGGAGTTCTTTTGATGGCCGACTACGCGCGCAGGGTAGAGCAATGAAATTAATCGGTTTTACACCGGCGTGGCGAGGGGGTTGGACTTGGAAATGTTGTTGGCAGCCAGGGCAGCCTCGGCCGCGGGCGGAGAAAAAGCGCGAGGGGTGTCCATGATTAAAATCGCATCAGACCGTCCTTGATGCACGAAATGCCCGCGTTACCGCGTCGCGTCGCCGTGCCTCTTGAGTAGCCAGCGTGATCGGTGTACGTGTCCGTCTATGTGTTGTATATCATACTACCAGTACGTGAGCGTTATCTCCCATGCTTTTCGTCCTCCCTCTGTCCGCCTTATTTCCAGTCGACTCCGTGCCAGCCGTCACAAAAACACGAAGCTTCGTTTGCCGCTGATGGGCTTATAATTGCGGAAACGTTGCTCGCTATGGCCGCTACGGTGGTAGCATGAGCGACTTGCATGCCGTCTATTTTGTCTCCCAGACTGGATTGTCATCTCCTCTTTTTATGGACACGTGTAATGTTAGCGAGACCCGACAAAGCGTCTAATATCGGTAAGGACTTTGCCCATTTCGAGTAATTCTCGCGCTTCCGAGGAGAGCGCTTTTTAATGTCTGAACAATCGCCTGAAATTTAATGCATGGGGGTTAGTCGAGCAACGATCGTGACTCCAGCAGCAGTCGATCGCGCTTTTTCCCAAGGGATGGCAAGAAAGGCGAAGGCGGGAGTGAAAGGCGCGTGTTCGGAGATCGAAAGAAGGAGAACGGGAAAGGAACAGAGTGAAGACAAATGCGAGGGCCATCAGAGCACCAAGCCATTTCTGCCTCATTGTGGACTCCATTTGCGACTCTTAGATTGTCGGTGAAATATCTCGCCGCGGTGATGGAAAAATCGCTAACGTAGGGAACTGGCAAAATAAAACTAGCGGCATTTCTCACTAGTAGGGACGGACTTCGAGTGCCTGCTATCCGGCACGGTAAGGAGAGTATCGTTGCAAAAACTGGAAAACGATAGAGTGGCCCGGGATACAACTTAACCGAGGGAAGTCCGAATGAAACTTCAGACATGTTGATAACTTCATGTGTGCTTGCTTTATACACGAGAAATGTTCTGCTATTGCCCGTATCTTATTTCCGATTTTTCAAACGCAGCTTTTTTTGTTGTGTTCAATTAATTTCGTATTTTATGTATATCAATATAATTATTATTATTAATAAAATTATATATAAAAAACAATCTTCATAAAATATCTTGATTATTCCTATACAATTTTTAGATAAGAAATTGCATTACCATTAGATTATAGATTATACTTAGGATATGTACAAATTATAGGCGATATTTTGCTTTAAAACGCGCGTTGTAAAGTTTCGAATACGAGAAAGAAGTTGAAGAAAGTACCGGTAATAGATGACAATGTAGAAAGAAGCAAGCGGCATCTCTACTAGCACGATATAAAGAGACTTTTTTCATCTGGTGATGGATCGCTCGTGGCCGAACTGGTGTAACAGAAAGAAGAGAGGAAGAAATCACGAGCGAACGAAGGTTCCCTATGGGGATGTGGTAGCGTCATTAGGCTGGTCCGAGCGAGCTAATGCACCATCCGTCGGATTTCGCCGGAGGCCTTTGGAAAAACCGAGTGAGGTCAGCATGTAAGTCCAGCATGAAGAACGATGAGCGCGTAAATGGCGTCTGGTAAAAGTTGCCAGACTTAGAGATTCCTATGATTGCTCCATATTGAAAGAAATTATTAATTTCAGAACGTAAAGGTAAAATAAAAAAAACACATCGCTACATACATGAATGAAACACGAATATATGTATATATGCTTAAATATATAAAATAAATATACAGATAAAGCAAACTTTGCATCTAATTTCGTGTTATAATCTATTCTTATTTGTAAATTTTATGTACACTTCTTGTGCATAGTAGAATATTAAATCCATGACAGGACTTACAAAAAAATTATTCTTTTTATGATACTGTATCTATAGTGAGATTTCAATGCATGGATGCTACGTTTTCTTTCGATAAAATAGAAAGACAAAAGCTATTTGCGAAGAAGAAAACAGCGCGCGAATGGGAAAGAAAGAAGGAAAAAGCTGGACAAGGTTGCGTAGGGGGTTAAATGCCGAAGGGATACGAGAAGGAAAGTGTAATCCCAAACGATCAGCGTGCGGCAGATTCGGTCTTAATGAGCTCCCGCAATGATAAATGATACCGTGGGCCGCGCCTCTCTCTTACCGCGTTTATCCACCAGTCAGAATAGGGTGTATCCATGTACGGGGTACAGGTCGGCGTACTACACGGTTCCTCTGCGCCTGTACCAACGTACGACGGCATCCATCCTACTAGCGAGGAGCTCCGATCTCTCGTTCTCGTTCCACCGCGCCGCGTGAAGCCTTCATCTCCGCCTACGATTCCTCAAACTCGGCCCCGGGATTGACCACGGAGGAATTCAAAATGGCAACTTTAGGCTCGGTCGGACCTACCTCGTGTGTGAGTGACACCTATCCATCCCTCGCTTCTGGACGTTTCAATTGAATGTTCTTCGGACATCTCAGGCGATGAATTTGCACAGAAATCACGTTTTAATAAGTCTATATGCTTATCGAGAAAAAAATGTTCTGCGATACGAAACTTACTTTAGAATCTTTAGGATATTTTTCAGACTAATGTAAAATATATTTTTAAGCAAAAGATATATAATTATTAATTAAATATTTTATTTTACAGTATCTTTTTGGAATAATTTTTACCAGCGACTGATATTTAATTTCGTATTACCTATAAAAATTTCTTTAATGTATTATGGCAATTATGGAGATAAATTATAAAATTAAATGGCCAATAAAAGTGTATATTTTTTCACGTAAAGGATATTATTACGTTTACGTGGACTTGTCATTTCTTGAACGCTATTCATCATATAAGGCTCGTCCTTTTCCCGAAGGTCGAAACGCTTGTAGCTATTAATAGTCCACTTCCAAACTGACAACGAGTGATCCATTTTCAAGACATTTCAATTTTCAGGTGGGCCTTCGGTCAATCAGGAGACAAAGATAGAGATCAATTGTATTCACTCTTTTAAAATTACTCACTCGAGGTTGACGAATTCCCGAAAAGATACAAAACTCGTCAAATTTTATCTAGATGATTCACAATCTGACGAAAGTCAGTCAGCAAGCAATTTTTTTCTATTTTTTAGAAATCTTTTACAACGTTATATTTAGAAAAAGCAAACAATTTTTATTATTAAATTATCTTAAATTATATATTAATTTTATTTTATGATTTATTTGTTTAAAAATGTAATTTATAGATTTATATGGCAAATGGCGATAGTTGTGTTTGTTTAAAGACGCATTAATTGTCCATTAGAATCTTGGTATACTATTTAGATCGTCATTATAACGCTCTTCTTATTTCGCAGACAGCAGTCTGTGGATCAACCTGGCGCAGCTGCCGTCGACGACTAGCTGACAGGTGATTTCGTCTCGGTGAAAGAAGGTGATTGCCTCATTACAGCAACTAACTATAAGCAGGTAATAATCCCACAACTTTGTTCTTTTCTTTTACTGCTCGCGCAATAATTATATACAAGCAGTAAAGTAAGTGAGTTGTCAAGTATATAAAACTGGAACGCTCGTTGAAGGCTGAAATTTCTTTATCGAGGAAGAAAATCTTACATCGATTATAGCTTCTCACAGTTTACGCTCTTATTATTTATGCGGTCTTATTATGTCTTTCATGTCTTATTGTTATTACTATTATTGCATTAACATCCTGTCCAATTAAGGACTATTCGTTACTACCGGCACTGATGTCTAATCTCATGAAAATTTGATTTATTTAGCGATAATTAATCCTTAAACTACAGTAATGCTTACGGATATATTACATCCACAAATTTATCTCTGCCTGAATTAAAAAAGTTAACGGATTAAAAAATGTAAATGTATATTAAAATGTGTCACGGCAAACGGAATGCCGATACGCGAGTCATGGTGACGATTCCTAAGCACTTGCCATCGCTACGGTAGAAAAGGCGAGCGCAATTTCCGGTGCATCACCTTCCACCGCAACAACGTACAAAGAGCGAGGAATCTTTTCGTTCCTGTGAATGCCGCGCATTAATCAAGCGCCGCGGGCGCCTGACGTCTTAATCTGCTTAATCCTCGGTGGCCTACGCAACATCCTGCACGCCCACGATTCTATGTACGTACTAAACGCCAGGTACGTCCGCGATGCGGCCTTTGTCAGGACGGTAAGGTTCTTGTCGTGAGATCGGTTGTAACAACGTGCGCAGTAACGGGACTCCGCGGTGGATACAAAGTTGCATGGCAGATGAGTAATCGGCGCGATATCGATATTCGCGTGGAATGAAATGACCGAGCGCGCGCGCGCGAGAGGAGAGTATTCATTGCTGGATGAAGAGGAACAGTTATTCCGTGCGGATTCGAGAAATGATTAAAAATATGCGTGCAAGCGCACTTTCTCGACTTCGCGGTAATGAGTTTGACTGTCGCTCTGTCCGTGAGATTAATATATTAAGTAAAAATATATTTTTATTGGACGTTATACGTTAACGTCTATATAAGGTATGTTCGACGAAAACTGATTCGAAATGCTGCTCATAAAAAATTATTTACAATCTTGGATAAGTAAATCCTAATAAATGGCATTTTTGCTTCACAAGTTTAATTGTAGCGTATTAACGAGCATGAATACGGATTCTTAATTAAACAGGATTCTTCTTAAGAGAATCATCTCTGTAATGAAGATAATTCAATGATCGAATGAATAAAAAAGAGAAAGAAAAGAAGGAAGGCCGCGAAAGATCGAACGGGGCCTAATCTTACACACGACCGACATCGTTTCGTGGGTGTCGTGCTTTCACTTCAAGGCAGTTTGACTGCAGGAGGCGATTGGTTCGCGCAGGGCTCCTCCCAGAAGCCATTAGGAGCCGAAACGGAGAAACAGCATTAATTTTAAAACCAATCCTGGAAGAGAAATCGGGCATTGGCCGCCATTCGTGCGAGTCCACGATGAGGAGAAAATCTTCCAAAAAAAGAGCTGCCTTAATTGCTCGATCGTTTTATCTCTCACCTTTCGGCAACAAGCGATTCACTTTGGTTAAGAAATTAGATCGACTCTAATTTTTGAAATTAGATTATCTTATCGGCCGCACCGTTCGAATACACGTAGATAAAAAGGATGGTTTTCGAAAAAAATTAATTTTGTTTACTTTTACTGTATATAACCGGAAATAAAATCAAATAACGTTAAACGTCTCTGTAGAAGTTACATGGTTATGCACAATCGTGTATTTCACAATCGTTACACTATATGTATTAATACTTACAATCAGCGAAAATATTATTGTAATGTTTCTTTAAAAAAAAATAATTTTTTATTATTAGATATATAATAAAATATAATAATGTAAAAGTGTTTCATCGATTTCATCAATTTGTTAGCACCTGTGCATTGAGCTAGTTACCACTTTAATAACCGGTAAGGTCGATCGTGAAATATTTAAGGAGCAACGTAGAAAATCGATGATAGAAAGAAAGGGAAGCGTATAGTCGAGTACAAGAGAGATGAGGAGGGATAAGGAACAGAGACGTGGAATAAGAAGAGAGTAAGGTTTAGGTAGCTACTCTCGGGTTGAAACGGAGGGAGCCGCCTGTGTTTGTGCTCTCGCCGGGGAGCACAAAGAGAAATGGCGAGGTATTTATCAGTGCTCACCCCCTCTATACCCTTTTGTCCCCTTTTCCATCGGCCCTCCGTTTCTCTCTACCGATCTTGCCGTCCTCGTCCGTCTCTCCTACTATTACCTTGCCTCCATTCTATATCCAAATCCATTCGCTCGGCTGCCAAACCCCTCTTTCCTCTCTTCCGTAAGCTCTCTGATGCCCTTTCGCGCACCACATATATGAGTACTCCATCTTCTCCTACAGAGAACTTTGACAGCTGTCTAATTCACGTTTCACATACGGTTACCTGGGTACGTGGATTTCCTCGTGTGTTTCCCACCCGCGGGCGGCTCTTGGACATTTCGATCTACCGCACAAGGAGGGTTACAAACTTATTTTTGAAACAAAAACTTTTCAATACATTTTGATTGGATCTTACTACAGTGGCAGAGAATTTTTACAAAATTTGATATGCATACCTATTTCGCATAGGTGTCGCATAGAAACAATTAATTTATATTTGAAGCAGCTATTTTAATTTGGTCCATCCATCTGCTTTACATTTCTCTCTCCTTCATTGGAAGAAATCCAAGATATTTATGTGCAAAATGTGCGAGAAGTAATTGGAATTTGCTTTTGATCACATTAACATTTAATTGTAAAGAAAACAAAACTCTGCAATATTATTACTGAAAACTGATTGTCAATGAAAGCGATTATAGATCACCGTCAGTTACAATCTCTCTTACTAGAAAAGATATTTCAGTAGCAGGCATCTTCATGGGTGACCCCCAAGATGAATACAGTCACCCAAATCCATGGGGCGAGTCGAAGTAGTATCCAATCAAAACGACGTGGGTAATATACCGTGAAATCTATATTTGCTCTATAAGAAATAGGGCACTTTCAAATACCTAGTGAAAGTAAAAAAAATGTTCCCCGACTATAGATTACATTCTGTTACCCGACATCGCGACAATTTTGATTCGTCACAAGTTAACAAATAAAAGATGGAACAATGGAAGAAAAGAAAGCCGATATTTTTAAATCCCCCTTTTTAAAGGGTGGTTCTCTAAATCGACTTTGCCGTTCCACTGTAATTTCTTATCCTTCCCGCATTGAAAGCTCCCAGCTTTCTTATGGCGTTCGCCACCCCACTTCACTCGAAATTCTCTTCGACTCCTGGTCCGACCGTCCGACCCTAGCCAAGGTCTTATCGGTTTCGATTATTGTTTGTTATCAGCATTTAAACATTTATGGTTCCCTGGGCTTTGTTGCAAATGTTCCGAAATAAATTGTGAGCCATTGAGCTTTAGAAAGCACGAGATATTGTCTGTTCGCCGCAAGCACCACAATTATTTTATACTGGCATTATAGAATATCCATTTCACAACTTGTGCGCACAAGTTATTTTTAAATATAAAATGTTTTAATTTATGCGTGTGTGATGAAGAAAGATAAGTTTAAGTATGTGATAAATAGAATCTCCACCGAATAATCTAAAAAAATTATAACATATATCAAAACATACCGTATGGTCAATCTTACCGCCGCAAAAATCCAAACAGAATCATAAAATCGCGTGTTTGTATGGCGCTTATTTGCAACGACATTAGCGGGGCCATGCGCGAGTCAAAACATTACACAAAGTTTTTGGGAAGAGGTGGAGAAGACTAATAATCTCGAAATAATGTAAGCATAATAAATGGCCGGGCATTAGCGAAGCGCTCGGCAGCCGGCTCATATTTTCGGTGGCGCTGGGTTTGACGTAACATTACTCCAAAGTGCGTTACATATTACTACCATATATATATATTTGTATTTTCGCTCGTATAAGCTACGCAACATATTCTTCCAACAAGTCGCTCTAACATGATATTACATTTTGTTTCCCGTTTTCTTCCCTGGCTCCCACTAACAGATATTTTCCAATCAGACATTGGAGATAAATATTTTTACGGTAAGTGACACACATGCATACGTAAACACACACTCAACTTAATCCTATTATATGAAAATAATTTCTAGTAATGAAATTATTAAGAATAAATCCTTTGTGGTCAATAGACAATACTTTTAGTCTAAAGACGAGATAGATTCAAGTAGATTATTTGAGATGAACTGTTAGAATATGTTGAGTAACTATTTATATCTTTCTGTGTAAAAATGTATTTAGCGTAAGACTACCTGTATTATAATGTAGTAGCATCGAGTTAATCATTCCCAACCATACTTGCGCCTTTCAATGTACCTTTTTGTGATGCATCCGTCACATACTGTTACCTTTAAAATTTACTTAATTGTCCATAATTAATGTGCCTGTAATCAGTTAATAATTATGCACTCTTAACGAATTATACAAGCAGGAAATTATTTCTAGGTGCGCAAGTAATTATGCTAGGAATTTCTATGCCTTAATTGATTCGCGGAACTGCAGGAGCGTTCAGGGTTTATATACCATATCGCGGAATCAGGCACTAAAAATTATTGCTTGGATTGATTACTTCCGGGTTATTACAAAACACAGATTTTCCTTGCCACGTCCTCCATTCTTCCCCCCCCCCCCCATATCACAATCTTTTCATAAAGGAAGTGTGAAAAAGAGGCGTTTAATTAAAAAATTTTCTCATAAATCTTCCTTTATATAACCTTTTTTTTACATAATTTTGATTATATATACTAATACAAAATTTATATTTACCAATATAATATTTATCAATAATTAATTAAACTTTGATATAGTAAAAAGAAAATTTTACTGTTTTATTTCACTTGAATTTTTGCTGAAGCGTTTTATATAAAAAGAATCATATACTGGATGTTCGAAGAAACAGAAGAGGGTGAGAAAAAGTAAAAAGGATGAAGCTTTCTCGCGAAGTCGCGTTTGCATTACGCACGCGACTTCTTCGGCACGGTCGGAACGGAGGGCAGCCGAAGGAAAATAAGGATGAGAGGAGAAGGTGGAAGAGGAAGGGAAGGCAACGGGGCACGCAGTCAACGACTACAGAGACTATCCGAGGTGCTGGTTGACAGCAACAAATGCCTCGGTGCAGGCAAGACGGGGAGCTCGCGCCCGGGACGCCGGTTGCAGGACCGGCTTGAGATATTACCAGGCAGATGCGGTCGCGCGCTGATCAAAGAAACGCTCCTCACTGAGAGAGATTAAATGGATGCTGGTGCGCGCCGGCAACCACCGCACTGTGGCTACAAATAATAAGTCGGAGAAGAAGAAGGAGGACTGCAGCGCACCGCTCGCTCGCGCGCGCGGCTCAGCGCTTGGTCGGGCCCTAACTCGGACTTGATGCATTCCCATCTTGCGGAGCGTTGCTCCTGTTGCCGGCTCCGGCACCGGCTACAGTAACTCTCACCCACGTCACGTCATAACATCATTACGCTCGCGATTGGTCATGAACGAATGATTCCCGCATTATTCCAGCGTCGCGCGACATGTTACGAGACAAGCCAATGCATCTCGCCAAGACGCCGGATTTCAAAGGCACGTGTAAGTCACGAGTTCTTACATATTCTCGCGATACCTCATCTCCGAG